TTGCCCAAGTGAGTTGGGAGTTGATTCCCGGAAGTGGGAGTTGCGAGCAGCGAACGGAATCGATACCGGGATCCAGCACTACTTGGCAGTCTAGTACATTTTTTAATGCAGAATCTAGTCATGCTGTCAGATTTTTAATATGTCATACTTTTTGAGTTGTAAAGACATTAACAGGTAAAAAAGTGGCGTTCTTTACAGATTTACAAAGATTATCAGTCATATGTTCTCCCAAAGTCATGATATTTGAATGAAACCTGGCAACATAAAAGGTTCCTCCTTGCCAAGCAATGCTCTGGATCCATTTGTCACAAAAATGTAAGTAGAGAACTGGATTTATTAGTCTAATAAATCCAGTTCTCTACTAGTAAAAGCATGCATACTTTGTTATAGAAAATAAGATTCGTCTTTGTGTAAATCCATTATTGGACAGTGTCCTATTGTGTGATAGATTAAGATGCGTTCAGATAATATAGTTCACAAGTCATGGGAATATTTCGCATGTGTAGGCTACAACTCATACAATAAATGTAGCATATTTACACACACCCCCCCCCCCCCCTTTCTTCTCTCTCTCTCTCTCTCTCACGCGCGCGCACACACACACACACACACACACACACACGCCCCGCGCACTCACGCATGAACGATAACAATGTATAAACAGGACTATCTTCCCAGACTGGACTAAATAAGTACCATACTCTTTAATAACAATCTTAATGCCTCACTTTTCCAAACAGAGCACACAGGACGAGTCCAAGTGTGTGTTTTCCCAAGAGGGGGGAATAGGCTTTCATAACGCAAACACAATGCCATACAACTTCTCAAGATGTTTGCTTTTCTGTTTCTATTCTTCTGTCATGCAATAAAGCAAATAAAAATGACTACATCTATTGTATTGTGACTAAAATGCAACAAAATCGCAAGTTATCAAGGCCCCCGTTTAGTTTTCAAGTATCCTTCACCCCCTTTCCGGTTCACATAAGCGGGGCCTCATTTGTAGCGCCCGAGGCGACCGATGGCTGATGACGTCACTCAGTGGAAATTTCTCAGCCGCAGGTCGTTCACCCAGCACGCGCAAATGGCGATGCCGCTTTTTCCCTTAGTTACTCATACATTTTTAGAGATTACGCGAAAACCGCTAAACACAGAAGCTTTAAATTTTAAGGGAATAAAGAAAAATGGTGTAAAACGTATCAATCAATTTGACAAATCACAGCTCCAAAAAATCTTCAAAGCGCACCACATCAACCACTTTCGCAAACGTTTTCGACAGGGTTGGGTTGATTTAAATCAAGTTGATTTTTTTTATTTAAATCAACTTGATTTTTTTGATAAAAATCAGTGATTTAAATCACTTTTTTTTTAAATTATTTTTATTCAGTTTTTACATATTTCAACATTCAGAATTCCCTTCCTTGGTTTCATAAAACAGATATAAGGTTAAGTAGACTAATATAATCATGTTTAAAAGTCTGCTTTCCCACCTTTCACTGTAAAATAATACAGTATTCAATTTACTTTTTTTCCCATAATTGAAATCAGAGCTGGGTTGATTTAAATCAGTTGATTTTTTAAATATTTCAATCAACTTGATTTTTAAAATAAAAATCAGTGATTTAAATCTCTTTTTAACAAATGTATTCAGTTTTTACATATTTGAACATTCAGAATTCCTTTCCTTGGTTTTATTAAACATAAGGTTTAGTAGACTAATATAATCATGCTTAAAAGTCTGCTTTCCCCCCTGTCACTGTAAAATAATACAGTATTCAATTGACTTTTTTTTCATAATTGAAATCAGGGTTGGGTTGATTTAAATCAGGTCGATTTAAATCAGTTGATTTTTTAAATTTTTTAATGAACTTGATTTTAAAAATAAAACTCAGTGATTTAAATCACTTTTAAAAAATATATTCTGTTTTTACATCTTTATATATTCAGAATTCCTTTCCTTGGTTTTATAAAACAGTATATAAGGTTAAGTAGACTAATAAAATCATGCTTAAAAGTCTGCTTTCCCCCCTGTCACTGTAAAATAATACAGCATTCAATTTACTTTTTTTTCATTATTGAAATTAACATTTTCTTTTTCTTTTTAGACAAACACAAGCGCTTGCACACACACACACACACACTTTAATAAAATGCAAGTTTATCTATGCATAATTCCCCCCCCCCCCTTCCTTTTAGACTGACATTTTCTTCATTTTTTGTCTGTAGCCATAATTCACTGATATAAATATATATATATATATATATATTATATATATATATACACTATTATATAGCAGATTAAGGCTTTCTTTTGCGGTTGCTTAAATTAATCATTAGTTAAAATAAAGACAATGCATTTTGCACTAAAAGAACATACTTTTAGCAACCAAAAATCCCAAACTGTGTCGACATTTTTTAAAAAATCAAAAAAATCTGATTTAAATTTAAAAAATCATGATTTAAATTTTAAAAATCGATTTTTTTTTTTTTTATGAAAAAAATCAAAAAAATCACCAACCCTGGTTTTCGACTGCTTCTAGGATGGGTACAATGTTGTCAAACTGCATACTACGAGATTGACCTCTTTTCTGATAGGCTGCCAAGTTTCATTCATATCCATTCACGAGAAGCGGCGTGAGAGCGAGTTGAAGACAACAACTTTTGCGTTAGTGTGTCCCATGAAACACCCCCGCTGCGGGGGCCAAAAATCGGCAGAACAAGACGCGCTCGGTGGGCATTGCTATTGTATTTCCATCTGAGATATTTATTCTTTCAAAGAAATCATGTTTGTACCATCTGAATGTCCATTCGGTTGAAGTTGTAGGCGTATGTTAGTTGGTTTTTTAGTTCTTCTCAAAATGCTTTTTTTGCCACAAGTTATATGACTGGGGGTACAATATCTCCTAAAGTTATGCACCTATTACTTTAAGATTTGGCATGCTTATTCTATGTGGCTATTCACATATCTGTACCAAGGCTTTTTGGTATATCCCAATTTGTTTGTGAGTTATGAAAATTTTAATTTCTGTTATATTGAGCTTGGCCAAAGGCTGTTTTTTAGGGTGGTGGGTTATAAAAAGCTTGACATTATGCCTTGTTCTTTATCAGGACCATTAAATTTTGATTGCAATTCCATCTGAGGTATTTATTCTTTCAGAAAATTCATGTTTACCGTCTGAATGTTCATTTAGTTGA